TCGACCTTCATCTTCCATAGCAAGGCAGACCTGCAAAAATGCCCAACCCTTCCTCACTTCCGAGAGTACACTCCCAGCAGAGCCTCTTGAAATACTCAATTTTCTTCCTCTCTGGGAATACCTCTGCAAACAAATGACACCAAAAGAAAAAGTATCTCATATCATCAGGGTAGAAAACAAGAGTATCTTATATCATGCAATCTCCCTGTCCTTTTCTTTCCTTGTTCTTACATGCAAAGACGAGGATAAAGAAAGCAATATGTCGGAACCTCCACCCAAACTCCCAGTTAGGAACCGACTGCTTAGAACATTTCCCTGATTGCTTACCTAGCACTACTCTCGAAGTACCCATTGTTTCAACATCTGATGCTTCCAGAGAAGATACCACATATGCCCGAAGAACAGATAAGGCAAGGGAAAATGATACATTGAAGCATGTGGAGACAAGCACAACAAAGCACGTGCCGATTCATCCGCTACTTCTTCAAAGTCAAAAGTATCTCATATCATCAGGGTTGCAATCACTCTAGGTTTGGTGGACTCGTTTTGACCCTCAAATTCTTAAGTCGACTTGCTAGGCATTGTGAGCTACACATGCCAATTCACCACCCTTAAATCAAATCCTTAAAGATCAAGTCACCAACTAGAAGAAGCAGCCACTATTCTTGAAGATCATACCGTTGACCAAACTGCTCAGGTGTGAATTAGAAAGATTAAACAAAGAAACAGGCAGTCACTTTCACCTCTTGCCTGCTTGCCATGTGTTCGAATCAACCTTCAAGATTAAGCCTCAACGGCCCTTGAAGAAGTTTCCAGCCCAATTCAAAATCAAGCCTCGAAGGCTCTTGAAGCAATCATAAGTACGACTCAAAATCAAGTGTCCATCACGCTTGAATCAAATCCAGCTCCACATAAAAAAAGAGTAAGTTTAGACCTTCGGAGGAAACGAGAAAATCCTCCAACCCAGTTCAAGAATAAGTTGTGGAAAGTCAATAATCGGAGGAATCTAGAAAGTCCTCCAACCCAATTCAAGATCAAAGTTGTGGAAAGTCAACAAGCACAACAAAATACGTGCCAATTCATCCACTATTAAAGCCAAAGATCATCTACCACGTGAAGATCCTTGTGGTCCATTTTAAGCTTCAAAATCAAGCCTCGACGGCCCTTGAAGAAATTTCAAACAAAGTTCAAAATCAAGCCTCGACGGCCCTTGAAGAAACTTCCAGCCCAATTCAAGATCAAGACTCAACGGTCCTTGAAGAAATCTCCAACCCAATTCAAGATCAAGTCTCGATGGCCCTTGGATCAACATCTACATTAAGGGACTTCAAAACGCATCTCCTACACGTGACAATCACATATATATTACGCGCCTTGAAGTGGGGGCATTTGTAGACATCAAAATTTCGGTAAATAAATCTTCACCAACGCATTAAAATTACAACCTTCACTCATTCCACCAATATCATACACTCACTTCACCTATAACCTCCACTCATTTCACCAACATCATACACTCACTTCACCTACAACATCCACTCACTTCACCCAAAAAATGGATGGTGGCAATTCATTCTCAAAGCCAATAAATAGGCTTCTCCATCAAGGTATCAATCATCCTAAAATTGACAAATACATTTCTCTACTCCCAAAATGGAAGAGCATACTCCCCACACATCCAAAATCCTTGAAGCTTTGAAACTCTAAAGTTCTCAAGCAAATCCCAAAGGATCAAGAAAGCCTTCTTCATTCTTCATCAAATCCTCCTTCAAGATTAAGCCCCAACGGCCCTTGAAGAACTTCCACCAATTTAAGATCAAGCCTCGATGGCCCTTACAGAAAGTGTTCATCGTTCATCATCCGTTCATCCTAAGATCAAGCCTCAAGGACCCTTTGGATCAACAACATCAACAAATCTGCACAAACATTCTTCAAGATCAAGCCCAAAAGCCCTTGAAGATCTATTCATCCGTCAACCTTCAAGATCAAGCCCAAAAGCCCTTAAAGAAATCCGCACAACAGTTCTTCAAGATCAAGCCCCGACGGCCCTTGAAGAAAGCTCACAACCGTTCATCCAAGATCAAGCCTCAACGGCCCTTGGATCAACAACAACATCCATAAATCAACACCTTACGGAGATCGAATCAGAGGATTAAGTTAAAAGAGATCGTAACCCCAAAATCATTAACACCAAAAATCTTTCTTTGTACACGTTATTCTTGTTTCAGGAATTTCCATGTTCACAATATTTTTAATGTTTAAGTAGATAAGAGCCTCTCACATAATTAGAGCAAAAGGCTCCACCACGGGGTGAAATATTGGCTATAATCGAACGTCTCTAATGCTCATAGGAATTGGATACACGTTACCCCTTAAGAGAGCCAAGATGTTGATGAGAATTCTCATCAAGAATTAGCTCGAAGGTTAAGGAAGTGCTCTAGGTGGCATGCTAAAAGTAGTTGATAGGGATTCTTACCACCTACAAAAGTTGGGATAAAAACACTTAAAAATATTTGCAAAAGTACAAGGTTGTCGTAGTATAACGGCTCAAATAAGGACGTTTTCCACATGGATTGAATGAATAATTTGTATTTATACTAATCGTTAGCTAATTATTTAGAATATAGTTGTGAAAATGATGATTTTGAAATTTAAAATAATAAAAAACGAATTAAAATTAAAGACAATTAAATAAATTAACTAGAGAACAATTTAAAGAAAATCAATTTGTAAAAGTCTTAGGGTTCAGCCGTCACCGTTACAATCCTATGCAATTCAACTAATTACATATGAATTTCCACATACATGCTTTGAAGGTTAGGTTTTCCAAATGCATATTTTCCTCGTGATGTTTAAGCGAAAATGTGTATCTAACATGCAACCCGTCTGTGATGTTCAGATCAAATATAAACATGCGAGACTCATTAAGCTTTGTGAAAACCCTTTGAAAAATCATGCAACCCTTAAGAGCGTGATGTTCGCCTTAAGTGAACTTGCAATTACTAATCACAGGAAGCCCTTCTCAATTTCAGGGTGATGTTCCAACATAAATTGCATCAAACTACTTGTCTAAAAAGTCCTAATGGTCGCGAATCATTAAGACAATTTGATAGTTTAATCACGGTGATTAATAATTCAAAGCAAACATGCATCCATTCATAAGCAAATTAATAAAACCACATATTCATGCTAAGGGTCATGGCTTCGCCCTAGCAAAAGAACTTAGTTACAAACAATCATAAAACAAAATATTATTGAGAATAAGGATAGACAACACCTAGAAAGTAGACTTGAAAAACTCTCTTAAAGTGTATGAGCATTTCCTCCTCTCCTTCCCTTCTAACCCTAACGACTAGAAAGTCTTATTTATACTACTACAAAATAAAACCCTAAAAGGTCTTAGAATAAAACTACGAAGCATAATAAAATAATAAAACAGAAAATAAAAGGATTCCTATTTGAACTCAAATTCGGACTTCTTAGAAAATCAGACTTTTGACTGACCAAATCAACTTCAATGTGGTCCCAAAGGGTCTCTTGAAAAACTCACAAACATCCTCCAATTGGAATCACTCCAAAATTCATCAGTTTGATCACTTTTTGCTCCAGAGGAAGTCGAATGTTTACATTAAAACATAACAAAGTATCAAAATTCTACCAAATAACTAACAAATTAATGCTAAGATTAGGGTAAAATATATAGTATAATATCGACTCATCAAATACCCCCAAACTTAGCTTTTTGCTTGTCCTCAAGCAAAACAAAACTCAAAAACAAATATAAAAACTAACAAGCTAGAAACTTTATTAAAACTCAACTAAGACAAAATTTTCATCTTCAAGTTGCAATCCATAGAAAACATTAAAAATTAGAACATCTTTCCAAAAGTTCCAACTAATCTCACCACAGAGTCTAAGCCATTTAGAATCAATTAGAAAAGAATTCATGAACTTCCTTTAGTGTAAAAGTGAACCAACATAGTTAAGGAGACTTGACTAAAATCCCTACCTTTCGTCCTTTTATTTCACACAAACTAACTTTTTTTTTCTTTTTTTTTTCGATTTTTTTCAATTTTTTTTCTTTTTTTTTTCTCATTAACAATAGTGGTCGTGCAATGTTAGTAAGCTTTCTATCCAACCCATGTAACGAGCTTCAGGTCAATGTCTCCCAAACCACCAAGGCTTTAGGGCACTAGATGTAGAACACCCCTAAGGACTTATTAACTCGAGCTAAAAAGGCTACAAAACCAACTAACCATCCTACCCCATGCCAAGTCTATTGTTTGAAGCGAGAATCACTGTTGATCACGCAGGACTAGACTGGTTACTAAGCAAAGTCTCGGGTGGAACAATTATTACTTTATTTAGAACAAAAATTAAAATACACTTAGACTAAAGGTAAGTGTTTCAATCTCACTCCCCACAAACCATGTTGATGTGAATGTGCAAAGTTTTCAAAGTATTACTCATGAATTAGTGTCTAAGCAACGATAAATGGAAAATGCTCTACCTTGGGATTAACTGTCACCATGTCTATTTGTTCTAATGTTTAAAATAAACTATCGATATTAACTTAAAAATTAAAAACCTTAAAGTTTATTTTCCCACCCCCAAAGTTAAATCATACATTGTCCTCAAGGTGCGGAAAAAAGGAATAAAATAAAAAATAAACTGAACAACAAAATAAAAATAAACAATCACCTTACTTGACTAGATATAGAAAAATGAAAAATAAAACTAGAAAATAAAACAAAAGACAAAGCAGAACAAACTATAAAACGATACCAAACGAAAAATAAAATAAAGGGAATAGAAGTGGACACACCTGGGTTCGAACCTGGGACACGATAGCATCAAAGAAAGCGTTGAAAAATAAAAACCCAAAATTGCTGCGTGCTGGACCTGAACCCATGACTTGCTAGAACAACATGAGGGGTTGAGCCTCTTCACATGGACCACACGTGCTAATGGGAATCCTAGCTGCTCAAGCTAAATTAAGCCCCAGTATCCTCGTTGCCCCAAACCTAGCCGTTTGAGAAGCTCCCCTTCTCTCTAGAAGTTTCACCTGGAGCCCAGAGCCAAAGACTTCTCCACTCATGTCTCATTTCCCTCAAAAACCGTAGCAGCCGCATCGTCCAACACTCAAACCCTCCAATGAATTTCATGGTCCAAAACATACTTCACCATGATCTCATCATTCTTCGGCCATAGATTAACCTCAAAAACAAATACCCAGCCGTGCCTCCCTAACTGTATCTCACGTCCCTCTCAGTTCTTGACACTGATAAAGGTAACTCTCTTCCGCATCTCCTTTGATTTCGTCTCCAAGGCTGCAAATCTCAGATCCGGCGATACAGTATTGCTATCCCATGTGCTTGCATGAATCGTGATGAATGATGACTCAAAATGGTGTGCACAAAACTGGATCTACATCTTGACTTGATGATCTGTGCACTCTGTGCAACATGGATCCCTCCCCCAAACTTGAATGTAATTATATTTTGAATGACGTGTGAGAGAAAGGGGTCCATTAGCATAGAGGTCTTCTCAGTATCCTCACTGTGAGTATCCCTGGACCTCATCCTATGCTCGCACTGTATCGTGCTTGCATTTGTGTTGAATTTGACCCATTAATATTCTTATGAATGTGATGATGAATTTATTATGATGAACATATGAATGCTGCTGAATGAATGATTCAGTCAATTGTGCACGCTTAGTGGATATTTAGGGCTGATTTGCTTCCAAACGCAACCTGCAAAGATCAGACAATGAAAATCTAATTAGAATAAAACCCAAAATAAAATATATTGATATTAACTCAAAAAAAAAAATTCAGTTTTTGTGTTCTTCAATTTTTTGATTTATTTTTTATTTTTGTTTTTGTGATTTTGTGATAATGAATGAAAGCAAGAAAATGCCGACCCCACTTAGTGGGAAAATGCTTTGTTGTTGTTGAATGAAAGCAAGAAAATAAAATGAAAATAAAAGCAAAGAGTTAAAAAAATTAGATTGCCTCCCAATTAGCGTTTTAGTTAACGTTTATAGCTTGACGTAGGAGAAAGAATTGTTAATCACGTCACTTGTTCTTTTAAAGTTAACCACTCCTTAATAGCATCGTAGGTGGGTAGTAGGTACAGATTTGTATCAGTTGTGCATTTAAATTCAGAGGTGGAGCCTTTATGTCCACCATTTTATGTGAATGAATATTTGTAATCAAAGAGGTTCCTTTCTGGCAATGTTTTGGTCTCCGTCGAATTGACTTTAATCTTGTATTTACTACCCACAACCTCTGCACTGGTAGAATTTCTCTATGAGTAATTTGGCTGTCACAAACTTTTTTCTTCTTCCCATTGTAGAACGTAGCCTGCTCGATGGATCTGCACTGAATTTTTTTAATTATGATTGGCTTTGCTGGTTCACTGTCTGTTGCAGCAGCATATTCTGAATTTGAGTGAACATCCATCTCCAACACTACAATTTTAATGTATTTCTGCACCTCAGTGTGTTCCTTTGCAGCATCTTGACCGGTTGTGTCTGACACATGGACTTGGGTGGAGGTAGATTTTGCGGAAATAATTTCACGATCAACAGTGGTGTTTCCGCCCTTGGGCGTGAATAGCTTGCAGGTGGCTCTTCCGTTTCTGCACCAATTTCCTCGTGATCATCATAGATGTTCTCACAGTTTAAAGCTTGAATCTGAAATCCTTGATTGGTTCTTTCAATGTACAACTCATTTGCTTCCAACAATATAGAAATTTTGTCTTCCACTGGAAGTTCTTGGGGCACATCAGGTTGCTCAAAATACTGTAGATTACATGCCCACATAAAATAAATATATTTTTTCAAGCTTGGAGTGTAGAACTCTGAATATGGATTGTTCCAATGCCTTTTTGAGTTGTTTCTCATATTGATATGCTTTTGTAAGAACTCAGGAAAATATTCCCTTTCGGGGCACTGTAAAATATCATAGGTCTTCCAACAGCAAAGAGCACAAGCAGTAGGTTTAAATCCATAAAAACCCTTTTCTGCTAAAGAAACCCATAACAGCAATCCTCGTGTCAGTGGTTTCATCATGGACTTGCTCTCAAGATCAACAAATTATAAGGTGTGAACCAAATAAAAAAAATAAAATCAACAAATAAATAAAAGTATATATACAAAAATAATTAACTAAGAATATGATAAACACAAATTATTTGAAACAATCCTCGGCAACGGCGCCAATTTTTTAATAGGGATTTTTACCACCTACAAAATTAGGGTTAAAAACACTTAAAAATACTTGCAAGAGTACAAGGTTGTCGTACTATAGCGGCTCAATGATAGGAGCATATTTATGCGCCTTAGTTAGCTTGTTCTTGTGCATTTACGTTGTTTTCCTTAGTTAAAGTAGTCTTTTAAGCTAGTTTTATGTGTTTTCAGGTTTTAAGGGCGTATTACACAAAATGATGCATTTTGGAGCCTTTTGGAGCATAATGGAGCTTGGAATGAATGTCACATACTTGGAGCCAAGAGAATGGACGAAATTGAAGATTTGAAGAAGATGATTCCTACTTGAGCCAGGATTCCTAGTCGAAGTAGGAAAGTGCCTAATTGAAGATGTAATCCTAATCAAAGAAGGAGTTCTAATTGAAGAAGGATTCCTAATCAACAAGGGATTCCTAGTTGAAGATGGATTCCTAGACGAATGAAGTTTCCTACTCAAACAAGGTTTCCTACTTGAAGTAGGAAAGTTAAATCCAAATGGCATCAAGTTTCAAGAAGAAAGAAGTAGTCCAAGTTGAAGAAGGAAAAGGTTTCCAAGAAGAAGGAGGATTCCCAAACACTTTAGGACACCTTATCCTTGCATTAGAGGGTTTCTAGAAGCCCTATCCAATTCCTAAGAAGGTGCCGCACCTTTTATCCTTTTTCCCATTGAATTTCTGATTTCTAGGCCTTTTTCCTTGTGGATTTGGATTCTAGAAGTCCATATCTGATTCCCCTAGGGTTTTTAGAGCCTATATAAAGGATGTGCCGCACCCATTCATACACACCACCTCTCACAATTCATCATTCACACCAGAAACATACACTCACCTTTTGCCGCAGCCTTCCACCACCATTCTCCCAAATTTCTGCCTAAAAACAACCCTAGCCGCACCACCCATCAACCCTAAAGCCTTCCATACCATTCCCCATCCATTCTACACCACAAATAACCCCAAAAACCTGTCTAAAGTTCTCTGCCGCAGCAAGGAGGAAGGAGGATTCTTGGATGCACTTGCTGCCACGTTGGAGCATTCTAGGTGTTTTCTTTCCTTTGATTTTAATTTCTAAACTTATGTATCGTTGCTTTGCGAGTATGAGGAACTAAACCCCCCCTTGGCTAGGGGGGGATTCGAAACCATGATTATGCTTGCTATATGATTTGATTACTTTCAATTGCGTTTCATAAGTTGTGGATTCAATTTACTTATCTATATGAATTAAAACTGATTTGTGTATGTTAGTTGAGAGTGCACGCTTAATTTTCATGCATGAGTTTGATGCTAGAATGTAAGGGAATTTCACCTAATCGTTATAAACTTATATTCACAAGTAGTAAAGGTTGATGATCTCAATCGCGTTAAGTAAATTCTTGGCATAAGTTTCATGCAATCATAGTAACAAGTGCTTCGTCAATGCTTATGGTTTTCATAGAACTTAATGATTCTTGCTTGTATCTCTATTATGCAATCATGTAGGGGACTTGTGGGGAATGCTTTGGGTTGTCGTATGCAATCATCCAATTCAATAACATTAGGAAAATCTGAAGGTTAATTTAAGCGGACCTAATTAACTTGGGGCTTTGGGAATTCATGGTTTATTGAAAAGCAATTGGAAATCGTTTTATATGCAAGTGTGACATGTGTGGAGATGAACCCCTTAGCTAGCCTTCCATCCATCCATTTAAACTAAATTCGTTTTAGAGTCTTTTCAATTTACAAAGTTTTGTTTTGTTTTCAAAATTCGTCCAAGATCAATCCCCTTTTAGTTTCAAGTGTCAAATTAGTTAGAAATCCATTTAGTTTGTGTTTTTAGGTGTCTTGAGTCAAGTTAAAATCAATTTTCGTCCAAATTCTTCCCTAGTGCTCAAAACTGCCCAGAAAGTGGTTTTAAGGCAGTTTTGAGTGTTTGTTTGCTGTTTTGAGTCTTTTGGTTTGTTTTAGTGTTTTAAAGTTTAGATTTGTGTTCTTTGAGTCTAGTTTAGTGTTTTAAACTTTGTTTTTAAGTTTTTGAGTCAGTTTTCAAGTGATTTGGCAATCCCTCCTAATCCCCGGCCTAGAACGATCCCTACTTACATACTTGCTACAATTGATAAAAAGAGGGTTTAATTTGAGTGCTAGTTAATTTTCACATCACTCAAGCAAGGTCGTTTTCCATAGGGATTGAATGAATAATTTGTATTCATACTAATCCTTAGCTAATTATTTAGAATAAAGTTGTGAAAATGATGATTTTGAAATTTAAAATAATAAAAACGAATTTAAATTAAAGATAATTAAATAAATTAACTAGAGAACAATTTAAAGAAAATCAATTTGTAAAAGTCCTATGGTTTAGCCGTTACCATTACAATCCTATGTAATTCTACTAATTACATATGAATTTCCACATACATGCTTTGAAGGTTAGGTTTTCCTAATGCATATTTTCCTCGTGATGTTCAAGCGAAAATGTATATTTAACATGCAACCCATCTGTGATGTTCAGATCAAATATAAACATGCAAGACTCATTAAGCTTTGTGAAAACTTTTTGAAAAACCATGCAACCCTTAAGAGCGTGATGTTTGCCTTAAGTGAACTTGCAATTACTAATCACAGGAAGCCCTCCTCAATTTCAGGGTGATGTTCCAACAGAAATTGCATCAAATTACTTGTCTAAAATACCATAATGGTCGCGAATCATTAAGACAATTTGATAGTTTAATCACGGTGATTAATAATTCAAAGGAAGCATGCATCCATTCATAAGAAAATTAATAAAATCACATACTCGTGCTAAGGCTCATGGTTTCGCCCTAGCAAAAGAACTTAGTTACGAACAATCATAAAACAAAATATTATTGAGAATAAGGATAGAAAACACCTAGAAAATAAACTTGAAAAACTCTCTAAAGTGTGCGAGCGTTTCCTCCTCTCCTTCCCTTCTAACCCTAATGGCTAAAAAGTCTTATTTATACTACTACAAAATAAAACACTAACAGGTCTTAGAATAAAACTAAGAAACATAATAAAATAATAAAACAGAAAATAAAAGGTTTCCTATTTTAACTAAATTCGGACTTCTCAGAGAATCAGGCTTAGGTCATCTCCTATAAATCCTCAGAAAGAATCTTCCTCAAAATGTGCCATCTTGACCTCCAAAATACCTAAAATGTCAAGAAATGTCAATCTGAGAAATCTGCCTGCTGGGCCTTTATTTCACTACCACGGTCAAATGGCTTAGTAGAAAAATCTTAAACTTTAATACAATCATCTTGAAAAACTCACGAACATCCTTCAATTAGAATCACTCAAAAATTCATCTGTTTGATCACTTTTAGCTCTAGAGTAAGTTGAATGTCCTACATTAAAAATACATAACAAAGTATCAAAATTGAAGAAGTCCAATTGAACAAGTCAAGAGAGAAGGGATAAAATTTCTCAGGCATAGTTGGTTCTATTAATGTTGAAGATAAGACATCTCTACTTAATGAACTATACACGGTGAAAATTTGGCTCGTACTTCTTTTCTAGTTGTAGTCAAAGCAATTTTGACATTTGTAGTGAGAACTTAAATGAAGATAAGATAACTTGGTTATCTAATTCTATTCCTTGAAGTACTAAGCGATTGATCCGCTGAGAAATGTAAGGAGATTGTGAATGAGTTTCCATTCCTTAGTTTGGCTTAGAACATTTCTTCAACATTTCATAATTGAGCAATGTTTTTGGCATATATGCCATTTTCAATGCACCAATATTTCATAAGTTAAAAATACTTTATAATTTTAAGACGACATTATTCCTCAACTTGCATTAAATGTGTTTTTCTTTAAATATGGAATGCTAAAAGTTAGTTGATCAAAATGGTTAGAGGTAGGTCATTACTTGACCCACTTGCTAAGTGATCAACAGTACTTTGACATTTTAGTAAGTTTTGAAAAAGCCTCATGGGAGTGCTATTCAAATCTAGCTTAAATTAGTGAGCTAATTCACTACAATTGCAATTTTATTTGAGAGCATTAAGTAGATGCTCCCCATGTTTTTCCGAACAAAACAAGAAAAAACTTATTATTTTTTTCCGAACAAAACAAGAAAAAACTTATTATTTTTTTCCTACTGCTCAAGGGCAATTATTGTTTAATTGTACATTGTCGTCAAGCCTTGGTTTAACAATAACTTTATAAGTACATCAAAAGAATAGAGTCCATTATATTCGTCTTGGAAAACTATGAAATTGTGAGTAGGATTCCAATCACTTGGAAAGGAATTTTCGAAAATTTTGGGTAGTGTCACACACCATTTAAGGTGGTGTATTGCAATTGAACTCTTCCAACCTAGTGGGAGACGTTTTTTGAAAGTTTGCTGCCAACAATTAGTCCGTAAAACCCTAAAGCAATTGAATGAGCAAATTAACGACTTTGAATTTTCAATTAGCTTACACCAGTTCTCACATATGGTGAGACAATTGTCTATGATATAGACTTAAGGGTTGACTAATTTCTTGTGACATTTAAATTGTAATAGAATTGACTATAAACTTGTTCTTCACATTGGAAAGATCTTCCAATCTTTAAGCGAAGGTGGGAAAAATGAATATCCTTACCTAGTGTTGCCAAAAGATTGTAAGTTTAGTGGCAGTACAAC